AAGCAGTGGTATCAACGCAGAGTACTTCCACAAGGACGGCCGACGGACACTGCGCCGGCTTGCCGCCGCGCTGCAGCTCGGCCGCGACGAACACTTGATCACTTCCTGGGAAGGCGATCGCTCGCAATCGGGCGCCATCACCTTGGTCACCGCCACGCTGTCGGTGACGGTGCGGGTCGGGGGCATCCATGAGGGCCGGGAAGTCGCCTATCGCGCGATCCGAAGCGGGATCGAACAACCGCCCCGTTACGCCGGCATACGCGCCCTCCTGGACGCGGACCGCTTCGCCAACCGACTTCAGGCCGAGGCCGCGACGTCCCGCCGGGCGCCGCGGCCCCAGCTCTGCCTGCTACCCGCGTGACGCCGGACCCTGTCGCATGCGACTCCCTTCCATGCTGGTCACAGGCGGCCTGGTCGATCATCCTTCCACCGACCCTCCGGAGACAAAGATGAGCCGACATGTTTTCCCGGGCCGCGACGGCGCCACATCCGTCGCGCTCGGTTGGGACCGCCCCTTGAACAGCTTCTTCGCTCAGGCCTTCCGCCCCGACCCGGAAGAGGAGGGCGAGGAGATGAGCTTCATTTGGCGAGGCACGTCGCCCGGCGAACTGGCGACGCCTGCCGCGGCGATCGATCTGGTGCGCGCCTACGCCGACCTTCCCGAGGACCTCGCGCGAACCCTCGAACTCGATCGGCTGAAGGCAAGCGGCACTGCCGACGGCATCGCCCAGGCGAGGGCCAAGCGATGGATCGAGGGCAACCGGGACTAGGAGCGGAGTGGGCGAAGGGAATCGATCCATTCCGGATCGATGGAGATCCTCATGCCCACCATCCTCGATCTTGGCGGTGCGCCCGCTGAAGCCGAATGCGCTCAGCTCGGCCAGACGAGCGATTTCGCCGCAGTGAACCGTTTCGAGGTCGAGGCCTATCGCCTCGCCATCATCGCCCGCTTCGGCGCGCCGCCCGCCGGCTGCCGGTTGGCCGAACTGGCGAACGAACACGACTTCGGCACCTATCGCACGCTCGCGCTCCACGTCGCGGACGATGCCGGTCCCGACGCCCAGGCCTATGCCGATCAAGTCGAACCCGGGCTCGGCACCTGGCTGGAAGCGGGCTTCACGCCACCGGTGACTTATGCCGGCACGTCGACGATCATCCCGCGTACCGACCCTGTCGAACTGGTGATCGGCGCGCTGCAGACGTGTCGCCCCGGACCCGACGGCCGGTTCCCGCTCCCCGACTTCGAGCTGATTCACGGCAACCTCAGCCGCGCCTTTCCGGAAGTCGCTGAGATCGCGCGTGCCCGCATCGCCGAAATCGGCGCCTGATTTCCGTCCAACTGCAGAGCAGCTGGCGCCCGCCGCTCCCCGCCCACTCCTGGGATGGTCGATGCCATGTCCAACACCTATACCAAATCCGCCTTCACCCAGCACGGGGAGCCAGCTCCATTTGCGCCGGGTGATCCAGCCACCTGGATCGCCCGAGGCCGCAAACGCGACCACGCCGAGGCTTTGGCGCAGGCGTGGCGCGACTTCCCCGACCTGCCACCCGACCACCCGCTCGAAGCGCGCATGACCCGGACGCGCGAGCGCGTCGTCGCAATGCGTCCCGTCCACGACGCCATTTCGGCCGACGGCGAGGCGCAGCGCCAAGCCCGCAACTTCGCCTTCACCGAAACTCAGGCGAACGCCCGGCACGATCAGCGACCGCGACCTTGCGATCCTCCAGGGCCGCGATCGACACGGCTATGGCTGGGACGACGCGGTCCGCTATGCTGGCGGTTGGTACGCCGCTCATGCCGGTTGGAGCTACAATCCCCGTCCGCACTGCGTTTCGCGCCATGGCGTCGAGTTGGGCAAGGAGGCCTATGATCGTGGCTTTGCCGACGGTGGCGGTGATCGCGGCGATCTATTCGACGTAGCGCGCCGTCAGCTGCTCGCCAGCACCCGCGCGAGCAACCAGGCGACAGCATCCCCCGCTACCGCGACCTCCCGCCCTCTCCCGAGCAGCTGGCCGCTGCCGACCGATGAGGCACGCCCTTGCCGGTGGTCCCGCCGACTGTTGATCCTGAGCGAGGCGGAAGCGCAGGGATGGGCCACTCGCGCTCGCCACCGCTCGCCATCGCCCATGGAGATGCTCGCGGCCGACCCCGAAACGGCTGACATGACCGTCGTCATGGTCACATCGGACCGGGGCTTCGTCGACGGTCGAGCCTATGCGGCCGTTCCGGCGCTGGCGCGGGAGCCAGGCTGGGCTGACCGCATGATCGCGAGCCCGACGCTGGCGATGTCGCTTTCGGAGTGGATCGAAGGGCGTGAGTTCGACGACATCCTGGTCACCCGCGCAGGGCGACTACCTCCGGATGGTCGACGCGATTGCGACCCGCGCTGCCGCTCTGCCGGACCATGGAGCGGACGCGCAACACGCCGCTGCAGCAACGCACTCACTTCCGCACCTGGCTAAATCGGGGCCGGGGCACCGGCGACAACCGCGGCGCTGGTCACATCCGCTGGAGCAAGCTCGCCAAGGGGCTTTCCGGGAAGCTCGGAGAGTTCACTGCCCGGGTCGGCACGCCAAACGGTGGCAGCGGCCACCGCATCGTCATCGAGGTCGCAGACGGCGTGTCCGCCACAGGGTTCGTGACCGCCGATGGCCGCCCGCTCGAGCCCGAGATCGTGATCGGCAACAAGACCAAGATGCGCCAGCACATGGCACTTGCCCTTCGCAGCTTCACGGGCGCCACCCGATTGGTCGCCTAGCCCCTCGTCGACCATGGGCGTTGGCGCGGGCGGGTCGTGCTTTCGCGCGGAAAACGGGAGGCGAGACGCGATCGCCAGCCCTGATCGCCGCGCCGCCGAAAAGCCGACAAGGTAGTCAAACCTTGCGAATTGTCGCGTCGCGCGTTAGCTCGAGTGACCGGCGGGAGCCAATGGCTTTGCTCATACCGCCGTCTTCAATATAAGACCGAATCCTAAAACGCCTTCCTAAGCGAGAGAGTAATAGTTCTTCCTAGTGGATCAGAGATCAGGCCATAGGTTTTCCGATTAGCACCCTCCACGACAGGTCTGGCGTTGAGAATATTGGTAATCGCGAGCCGTACCGTGAACGACTCGGGGTTACCAGGATCCACTGTATTCTGACTGATATTGTAGTAGGCATCTGCGCCAAGCAGCCATAGAGGTATTACGGAAGACGCTGCGAAACTGCCGGTCGACAGCCCCCCCTCTCGACTGCCACTCTTCCATGACGCGTTGAAATTCGCTCCAAATGTCCGCCCGTTTATCGATCCCTGGAACGTGACACGGTGCCTCGCCGGCGCGGAACTAGAGATGCTAAGCGGCGACAACAGAGTGTTTACGACCGGTTGATTGCCGCTGATCTCGATGTCATCGCTTAGCGTGAAGTCATGATTGATGCTCGCGAACCAGCTAATTCCATCCCTCAACCGCGACGGGTCGGATCTATCCTGCCGAGTCGGTATCAAGGTGCCGTTGATATTGAGATTCCATGAAAGGCGCCGCTGTGACTCTCTAACACCAATTATAGGTCGGCTGTCATACGACAGGAGGGTTCCGTCAGATGATCGCACGAATCGACCAGGAAGGATCGCCTCCACCAATGCGGTGGGATCCTGAAGATTAATGACCGGGTTATTAACTCTAATAACGTTATAGCTACCACTAAGCACAGCCTTGTGATAGGTCACATTGACTCGTAATGCGTCCCTCACCTCAAGTGACTTCCTGAGATTGGTGCCCCCCCGTAATGAGGGTTATTGGGAGTGTCGTCTTATTTCTATCGTCATAGAATAGGACACCGGGGGTATATTGTACCGGCGCGAAGACGGAGTTTAGCGGTGGCAAGGCAGGTTGGTTATCCCGCGAGACAGTTATTGTTATCGCGCTTACTGGACGCCACTCCGCGCCGTAGTGATAGGAAAAGGCATTCCCGAATGGAGTTTGATGTGTCGTTTGCGTACCGACATTGAAAGATAATTCGCCCATTCGGCTCGTGCGCTTGGTCAATGGCAATCGAAGGTCTTCCGTGGAAATAATGCCATTCGATTGTCTCACGGACCTTTGTTCGGTTCCGCCATACAGGGTAGAGCGCAGGTTATTCGCAGTGAATTGAAGACTTGAGGATAAGATTGCCTCACCCGCGGGCAATTTGAATATACCACCCGTCAAGCCTGCCCGGAGGCTCTGGTTCACAGACAACTGCCAGATACTGCCAGTCCCGTCGACCGTCGCGCCGCTTGACGCGCGTAGCCAGTTCAGCCCCGTCCCCGCCGTGAACGACCAGAATTGCCTCCCTAAAGTGCCGTTGATCGTCATGGTAGCCCGAAGGCTACGCTGCGAGGTCGTACGCGTGAGAGATCGCCCGGACGGCGCCCCAAATGCCAATAGCGCGACATCAGATGCTCGTTGGTCGGACGCATCACCGCTCAACGACAGATCATAGTTGCTGGCCCCAAGAGGGCCGGCAAGCCCGATTGTCGTCGCGAGGCTCTGTGACTTCGGGACCAGCGTGGAGCTGGGTATCAGCAGGGGATCCTCGCTATCGTTGACCCCCCGCTCCGAGGCGCGGAGTGGAGAGGATCGTTGATAGGTCACGGCAGCGTTCATGCGACGGTCGCCGTTGATATCGGCGTAGCGCGACGTTGCGGCCTCGGAGTCTCCGCCGCCCTCTGTGGTGCCGCTGATGCGACCATCGCCTGTTATCGTATGGAATTTCGGCCTTAGCTGAAGGTTTAGCACCCTCTGGCCGCCCCGCAGCCCGAAGCGCCCGGCAGCCAGGGGTGGGAGAATGTCGATCTTCGCCAACGCCTCGGGAGGAAGTGAGGTCACCGCATCAAGCGAGCCTACCAGGCGACCATTCACGATGACGGAAAAGTCCGCCCCATACCGCTGACGGAGGCGCTCGATCACCTCGCCAATCGAATCGAGCCCAAGGCTCTTTATTGCAGTGTCCGAAACGGTATCGTCAGGCTTGATGTCGTCTACCGGCGACTTAGGCCGCCTGCCGATAACAACGATATCTTTGTTCTTTGGCTGGACCCGTTCCGCCTGCGCGGATGCAGCTTCGTGTGTCGAGCATATCATTGCTATAGAAAGTCCAGCAGATGCAATCGACCGCATATCATTTACCCCGGACTCGACAGAGTCATCGGGCGTGGTCGAGTGACGAAACGCTAAGTAGGAGACGGAGCCACTCGTTCATCGCATCTTTCAACCTAGGCTGCATCAACGCCAGATTTGATCGACCGTCATCAGGGTCATCGATCCGGCAGACGAAGCCCTTATCTTCCAGACTCTCGAAATATCTCAATGCTGTTGCCTGCGAACCATTCGCCTTGTTGAGTAGCTTCGACACCCGGAACTGCCTTCCGTCCGCAGCACCAACATAGAGTTCCAGCATCATGTCCCAGGCGGGATCATGAAAATGGACACCGGCAAAAAGACCGCTCCTCCTGCGGCGGCAGAGCAATAGCGCCTTGGCGAGCATGACCCGTGCGTCTTGATGGATGGCGGCGTCTCGATCCGCGACGCGGATCGACGCCTCGATGGTCGATCGGGGCAGGCGAACGACGACGTCGATCAGCTCATCCCCTGATGCGTTGCTTGCCATGTGCTGCGAAATCCGTCCTTGGTGACCGGATCGGCGTTCCGCGGGAGCCTATTGGTCCCGAGCGCTAAAGCGAAAAGCGCAAGGTAGGCGTAGAGAACCAATCCGGAATTATAGATGAAGAGGACAATCTTCGGCATCAGAATGCCTGCGGCGCTCAGAATCAAGTCCCCCAAGGCAAACCCGAACGCCCAGATCGGCCAGAATCGCGTCGTCCGAATGGCGAGCCAGAAGAACATCGCTGCTACCGAGGCGTCGATCATCAACATGACAACGTCGGTTGGCGAACTTGAAATCAACCGTGTTGCTTGCAACGTTCCGGTGAGCGCCGATGCCGCCAGATTGATTGTTGCTCCGATCCGTTCTGGTTTCCCGCCGCGGATCAGCGCGAAAACGCAGACCGCGGCGAGCACCACATTATAGATCGCGGCGTAAAGAAGCGTCATGCGCGGTCCACGTCCTGATCGAGATCATGCCTCACAGACCAGCTCAACCGAGGCCATCGCAGGCGACGGCTTTGGCGCACTCCCTCCCCAGCTCGATTCGTCCAGGCCAAGGCTGCGCGCCACACGCTCGATCGACTGATGGGCGCGCATCGCAAGCTGCGCCTGACTGTCCACCTGGGCAGCGAGCGACGCCACGGTCGCTTTGACGGTGCCGTGGGACATCGCTCCGGATAGCCCGTGAGCATCCGCCGCTTCGAGCGTCGATAGCAGGAACTGCGCGATGTCTCGGGTGGCGGTGTTGATCGACCGTTCTGCACGCCGGAGGTCATCGGCAACCGCAAGGCTGGTGGTCGGCAGATTGTGCACGGGCATGGTCTCCTTGGCGCTGAGCGCCACTACGTTGCTCTCATGCCGAGCAGCTGGGTGACCGTGATGATGGCCATGGCGGCGACTGTCACCGCGATCGGCAGGGCGATCGCGATGATCGCCGCCCCAGGCAACGACCTGTTTCCAGATCAGCGCATTCATCGGGGCCTTGCTGGTCGGCAAGGGCAGCGGAAGCGGCCAAACGGCCTCAATGGAAGGTGCAAAAAGTTCACTGTGAACTTTTTGCACCCCCGCTTCGTGCATCGCGAGAAGCGTTGCGGCTTCGCGCCTGCTGCCGACGCCAAGGATTTTATTGGCCTCTGTCAGTTGGTTATTAACATGGCCAGGACTGAGGTTGAGCCGGTGGGCGATTTGTGCGGTCTTGAGGTGCTGGTAAACCAGCCGAAGTAACTCTCGGTGGCGATCGGTAAGATTCGCGAACGGCAGCGGATCCTTGGGTTGCATGACCATGCCCTATATGCCCTGCGCTACTATCGATTGCAGGATGGTCTACGACAAACCCCGTGACAGATGATATCATTTTGAGGGACAATTCACCCGATTCGAATATTCCAGCGGACTCACGGCCCTCACGCCGACTGGCGCCCAAATCGCCCAACAGGCGCGCGCGTAGCGCATCATTCTCCATCGGCCGACCAACCGCCGGATCGTTATAAGGCTGCGACGGGGCAGCGAAGATCGGCTTGCGGTAGGATTGCGCGACCGACCGTCGGCCCATGCCGCTAGGCTCGCTCACGGCTTGCGAGATCGCAGCGCCGTCGCCTCAAGAAGCTGCCACCGAGCGCCGCCAACCGAACGCTCTAGAACTTCTCGACTTCAATGAAGCCCGCGGATGGTGAAGGCTGACGGCCGATGGCAGCGCTCGCGCGCGATATCTAGTCGACGATGCGCGAACTCGATGCGCGCTGATCGAGCGTAAGCGTGGCGTGAGGACCGCAGTTTATACGGCTTGGGCTGTTGGCTGATCTGTCTGGGGCACCCAGTTCCACGGCATCAGCTCGTCCCAGCGGGTGGCGGGCCAGTCGCCGGCGACCCTGGCGATGACATCGGCGATATAGGCCTGCGGGTCGACGCCGTTGGCCTTGCAGGTCTGGATGACGGTGTAGATGGCGGCGGCTCGCTCGCCGCCTGCGCGCGAACCCGCGAACAGCCAGTTGCGCCTTCCCACGGCGACGCCGCGCAGGGCCCGCTCCGCGATGTTGTTGTCGATCTCCAGACGCCCGTCACCCAGGAAGCGGCACAGCGCCGGCCAGCGTTTGGTGCCATAGGCGATGGCTTTGGCCATGTCGGACTTGGGCGACAGGCGGCGAAGGGCAGCGTCGAGCACCTCGCGCAAGGCGTCGACCAGCGACTGGCTTCGTTCCTGTCGCGCTCGACGGCGTACATCCGGCGGCTGACCACGCACCTCCGCCTCGACGGCATAGAGCGCGCCGATGCGCTCTAGGATATCGGTGGTCAGCGGCGTGGAGAGGCGCTCGTGCAGGTCGAACACCTTGCGCCGGAAGTGTGCCCAGCATGCCACCTCTGTGACGCCACCGCGGTACAGGGCGTCATAGCCCGCATAGGCATCGGCCTGGAGAAAGCCGCGAAAGCCGGCGAGATGCGCCTGTGGGTGCGCCGCGGTGCGGTCGGGCGTGAAGCGATACCATGTTGCGGGCGGTGTCGTGCTGCCGGACGCTTGGTCGTCGGCGGCGTACACCCACAGCCGCCCGGTCGCGGTCTTGCCACGGCCGGGGTCGAGCACCGGCACCGGCGTGTCGTCGGCGTGGATCTTGTCGGCCTTGAGCACCTCGTCACGGATACGGCTGACCACCGGGTCGAGCAGTGCTGCAGCTTGCCCGGCCCAGCCCGCGAGCGTCGAGCGGTCGATCTCGAGCCCCCTGCGCGGCCATCATCTCGGCCTGGCGGTACAACGGCAGATGGTGGTCGAACTTGGAGACGACGACGTGCGCCAGCGTCGCGAAGGTCGCCTTGCCCCCGCGCCACAGCGCTGACCGGCGCGGGTGCCTGGACGATCTTCTCGCAAGACCGGCAGCTGTATTTGGGGCGGACGTTGCGCACGACCCGCCAGCGCACCGGCACGATGTCGAGCATCTCGTGCGCGTCCACGCTCAGCCGGCCGCCAGCGCACCACCGCGTCAGGCAGGTGCAGATACCGGACGCCGGCTCGTGGACGACCTCCTCGCGCGGCAGATGCTCCGGCAGACTGCGGACCGGTGCCAGGCGCGGCGCTACTCCAGGCGCCGCAGTCTCGACTTCGGAAACATCCCGCTCCGTTTCCAGCTCTTCCAGCGCCAGCTCGAGCTGTTCGATCTCGCGGCCCAACTTCTCGGAGGAGGCACCGAACTGCATCCGCCGCAGTCGGGCGATCTGCCCGCGCAACGTGTCGATGAGCAGATCGCGGGCGGCGAGCGCGGCATTCGCCCGGGCGAGCGATGCCTCCAGCGCGGTGATCCGCGCGGGTGGCATCAGCAGGGGAAACAGGCGCTTCCAGCACCCGCATTTCATAACAGATCACGCATCGACGGGCGAGAAAAAGCGTCGCAAAACCGCCGTTTTCACCCCGCCAGCGTCGGCGTGAACGTCCGCTCTGGGCGACGCCAGTCGATGCCCTCCAGCAGCATCGACAATTGTGCCGGCGTCAGCGTCACCGTGCCCGTCGCGGTCACCGGCCAGACGAACCGGCCCCGGTCGAGCCGCTTGGAGAACAGGCACAGGCCTTGCCCATCGAACCACAGCAGCTTGACCAGATGACCCCGCTTGCCCCGGAACGCGAACAACGCGCCCGAGTGCGGGTTCTGGGCCAGCACCTGCTGCACCAGTACCGCCAGGCCATCGAACCCTTTGCGCATGTCGGTGACGCCACACGCCAGGAACACCCGCGTCGGCAACGGCGTGGGGCTCAACGCAGCACCGACAACACTCGCGCCAGCGCGCCGGCGTCCACCGACCCGTCCACGCTCACTCGGACGCCACCCGGAAATTCGATGCAGATGAGGCCGGACGTGGATGTCGCCGGCTGCGGCGCAGGTGCGGCGACATCGGCCACGCGCACCTCGGCGAATGCCGGCAGCGCAGGCGCGACCCCGCCCAGCTTGCCCAGCCGCGCCTGCTTGCGCCACGTATAGATCAGGCTGCTCGACACCTCGCGCCGGGCGATGACATCACGGACCCGCACGCCCGGCCGGAACGCCTCGGCCAGGATCTCCAGCTTCTCCGCGTCCGCCCAGCTCCGTCGGCCCGATACCCGGCCGACCACCTCCACACGACCAGTCGTACGAGCGCTCGTATGACCAGTCTCAGAACCGAAAACTTCCCGCACCGCCCGCGCCCTCGTCAAAGACGATAAGCATCCCGGCTACGGCCAAACGGGCAAGGCGGCCCTCAGGCCACGCTTACGATCGAGCGCGCCATCCACCATTCAGTAGCTCGGATCTTTGAAGAATGCCTCGTTCCGAGCGTCGACCACGGAGGTGTTCTTTATCGCAAGGATAGCAGACTCGAATATTTTCGCGTTGGCAAAGTCATTGGTGCTTACCAACCGATTGTGATCGCGGCTCAATTCGCTGAGCACGTTCCGGGGCGTTGTCCAGTCAACAGGGCTTCCGAAAGACGTTCCACCGTCTGCCTTCTGCAAACTGACGCTCCACGTCGCAGAGAGCTGCTCCGACGTGTAACCGAGGTTTTGAACCATATTCGCCCTGACAACGGACAGCTGCCCGAGCGACATGTGCTCGTAGTCGTATTTCCCAGATGGGAGTCCTTGGGCTCTGCTGATTGCATCAGCTTGCTTGGCAACCGCCGCTTTCCTTTCACCCTCCGGCATTTGCATGAGACGCGTCCAGGAAGCCTCATCGACAACGGCGGTGGTGTCAGAGGACTGTTCCGACAGCGCGACGGCGGCTGAGGAAATCTCGGCCCGATCCCCCGACGGCGCCTTCACCGAGGAAGTCGCATCGGACAGCGCGCTCGCAAAAGCGGCTCCAGATGACGATGGCTTTAAAGGGCTTACCGCGGGAGCTTTGGGAAAGCCGTTGATCGAAATGTTCATAAGGTCAGCCCAATAGGTCAATCCGTCGTTCGGAGCAGAACTACTGAGCTACGGTTAACGGATTAAGAAGATAACGAACCACGAAGGATGCAGGCGACCGTAAGAGGTCGCCTGCGAAAGGGTTAGCGAATGACGATCTGAGCGCTACCGGTCGGGTACGGATAATAGGCGCTGGTGTCCTGAATGTAGAACGTGCGTCCGTTGCCAAGCTGGCCGAGGTAATGGGGAACGTCATTGCGGAAGCCGGTGACAGTCTCGCCGGAGCGACAGACGTGGAAATCGCTGCCACAGAGATTCGTATTGGTCGAACTCAGGAAGACCTGTTGGCCGCCGAGCCGATAGATGCGGTTGCGCCCGCCTACGAAATACTCGTCATAGATGACATGGACGGGAGGGCTGGTGTAGGCATACGTCGTCGAGGTCTTTCCGTCCGTGTATTCTCCGGCCCCTGTGGCATCGTACACAGCGCGAATTGCGATTTGAGCCGACTGGGCTTGGGCCGACGACGCAGTCGCCGACGTGAAACCGGCCGCAGCCATGGCGAAGAGAAGCATTTTCTTCATGTGGGAATCCCCCGAGTGTGCGGGCGGGGTGATCCCAACGCCCGTGTGCCCGGAATAGTTGTATTAGTTCACATATCATACAGGAACAGCGCTCATTTCTACTTGAAGATGCTCTCAGTTTGAGGAAGATCTCAGGCGGAAGCTTTGCTCGGCTACTCGGAAGCGGCGGCCGCACGCGATAGCTTATTGGAGTTGGTCGAGGCGTTCATACAATTGTGCGGCCGTTTTCGCGCGTACAGCTTCACCGGTTTTCCGGCGGAGCGCTCGCTTTAGAGCTGACCCTTAACAGCACCCGATGCTGCTCGCCGTCAGCCCGGACCGCAAAGAGGGAGGGGGAGGGGAAAGGTGGCTGCGAGGGTTGGTCCTGCGCGGCACCAGGAAACCGCCATGCTCCCCGCCACTATCGAGACCGCCGTCGCGCCCGAGACCATCACCAAGGTCACGCGCCTGTTCAACGGGTCGGCCCACGACATCTTGAACGAGTTGCTCCAGAACGCGCGCCGAGCCGACGCCGGTGCCGTCTATGTGACGCTGATCGGGCAACCCGGCGATCGGCTCCTGACCGTCACCGATGACGGACACGGCATCGCCGACCCGACCACCATCGTCACGCTCGGCCGCTCCGGCTGGTCGGACGACACGCGCGAACGCGAGGATCCCGCCGGCATGGGCGTGTTCAGCCTCGCCGGGCGTGACGTGATCGTGCGGTCCTGGTCGCGCCCCGAGCATCAGGGCTGGTGCGCGCACATCCCGGCTGGCGCCTGGGCCACAAGCCGCCCGATCGCGATCGAGGCCGATCCCATCGATCGCGGCACGGCGATCTCGATGACCATGCCCGAGGCGTGGATGCCGACGCTGCGTGCCACCCTTGAGAAGGTCGCACTCTTCTACCCGCTGCCGGTCTACCTCGACGGCGAGGAACTGCCGCGGCGGTCTTGGCTCGCCGGCGCCGTCCATGTCGAGGACTGGCAGGGTTGCCGCATCGGCGTCTTCGACAGCCATGCCGCCGATTGGCCGCTGGCGAAGGAGGTCCGCATCAACTTCCACGGCGTGACGGTCGCGACCACCATGCCGACGGTCGGCGAGGTCGACCGAGGCCAGTACTCTGCGTTGATACCACTGCTTGCTCCCAAGATTCAGCTCGTGCTGCCGGCCCGCAAGGAGCCGGTCGAGAACGACGCGCTGGCCGCCCTGCGGACGGTGGCCAAGGCCGCAATCTTCCGCGCGATTGCCAGGGCCGGAGGTCACCGCCTCAGCTACAAGGAGTGGGGCGAAGCGCAGGCGCTCGGCATCGAGCTCGCCGAGGCGGAGCCCTACCTCAATCGCTGGACCGCGCCCTGCGCGGACTATCGCAACAGCTGGCAGGGCCAGGACCATGTTCGGGGCGATGCCATGATTCTTGTGCCCGACCAGGCGGCGATCGTCGCCCAGCCGATGCAGCGGGCGCTCGCCGGCGCACCGGCCTTCGCCGCTGCCCCGCTAGTCGAGGCCGAGCCGCGCTTCGCCGGTTACACCTGGTACGACGCGCTCGCATGCGTCACCGATGTCCGTTTTCGGATCGAAGCCGGTTCGGACAGCTTCGAGGTGACGGACATTGAAGACGCACCCGAGGGGATGACGAGCGGCCTGGTCGACGGCATCTCGCTCCTGATGAGCGTGACGCACGATGGTCAGGTCTCGCAGCTGGCCCCTTCCTGCCGACATCGCCTTCGCGCCCGACCCGTCCTATTGCGACGACGTCGACGAGGTCGGCATCTTCATCCGCCGGGGCAGCAACACGACCTCGGCCGACCTTTCGAGCCTGCTCGAGCACGCGGTGTTCAATCCGAGCAGCGACAGTGGCGACGACAGCTACGAGACCCAGCTCGCCCGCTTCCGGGCCACGGCCCGGGAACGATCGGTCCGGCTGATCGAGGGCGGCGACGCGGCGATCGAGGCGCAGCTTCGCATGCTCCTGCAGAACCACGTCTGGATCGTCCCCGACGATCGCACGGTCGCCGTCACCCTCACGCGCGAGAAAGTCGCGATCGTCGTGACGCCGCGCGCCTCCGAGCCCGCCTGACCGCTTCCGCCGACTGGCGCCGCTCACGCCGCCAGCACGGCCTCTCCCGCGAGGATCATCGTCATGCCCGTCCGTTATGTGGCGCGCCATACGCGCCTCCACCCGCAGCTTTGGGGGCCGTACAAGATCACGGCTTACCCCCATGGTTTCCACGACTGGCCCGAAGGCTTGGCCGAACCGGTATGGGAGCCGAACGCGCTGATGATCCGCGGCGGTCGCGCCTGCTTCATCCGCCTGGGCGATCAGCCGACGCTCGACGACGCGCTCGACGCCTGCTGGCAACACCTCGCCAGCCTGCCGACTCTCGCCGAGGCCGCGTAGCATGCTGCCCCCGGCGCCCGTCGTCCTCGCCTACGGGGTCGGCGTCGACAGCACCGCGCTGCTGGTGGAGCTGGACGCCCGTGGCCAGCGGCCGGACCTTGTCCTGACTGCGGACACCGGCGTCGAGAAGCCCGCGACCTACGCCTATCTAGACGTCATCCGGCCGTGGATGGACGAACGCGGCATCGCGCACGAGTTGGTCCCGCTACCAGCCCAAGCGGTTCAAACACTGGCCGCCCTATTACTCGCTGCTCGAGATGGCGCTGACGAACGCCACATTGCCGAGCAAGAGCATGGGCGGGTCGAGCTGCAGCCTGAAATACAAGAAGGCACCGCAGGACGCCTTCCTGCGCACCTGGGCGCCGGCGATTGCGGCCTGGGGCCGGGGCCAGAAGGTCACGCGCCTGATCGGCTTCGACGCCGGCGTTCGCGACACGTTAGTACTCTGCGTTGATACCACTGCTTCCGATCCGCTCTACGATTACGACTACCCGCTGCGCCGCTGGGGGTGGGACCGCGACGCCTGCACCCGCCGGATCGAGGCTGCCGGTCTGCCTGTGCCGCCCAAGTCGAGCTGCTGGTTTTGTATCGGCATGACGCCAGGCGAGGTCCGCGAGCTGCCCGCTTGGTGCCTGCGATTGATCGTCCTGGTCGAGGCGCGCGCTGCGCCCCGCCTCCACACGGTCGAGGGTCTATGGCGCAAGACGACGCGCGCGCGCCCCGGTCGGATGACGGACTTCATCCGCCGCGACCGGTTGCTGCCCGCGGCCGAGGTCGACCGCATCTGGCGGGAGGCACCCGCCGACCTGATCCGCTTTCAGGACGTCGCGGCGATGATCCCCGTGGCGGAGCGCCCGACGATGGCGGACTGGCTGGAGCGCTTCCACGCCGGTCTCGCCGTGACCACCCCGGCGGTCGACCTCGCCGCCTGACCGATGGAGCCGAACATGGATGTCGCCCTTGACCCGCCACCGCCGCCCGACACGGCGACTGCCGCGATCGAGCCGATGCTGGTGCTCTCCACCAGCCACCTCACCGACGCGACCTGCAACGTCTTCCTGCCTGGCTATGACGGTCCGGCCTGGCCCAAGGGCGCCTATAATTGGTTCGTCTACGCGCCTGAGGACGACGACAGCGAACTGCCCGAGGACCTGAAGGTCTGTCTGGCGCTCGCCCGCCAGAAAGGCGCGTTCTGGGTCATGTTCGACCGCGACGCGGTCGATATCGAGGAGCTGCCCACCTACGAATGGTGAACGTCACCCGGGAGGGGCTCCAACCCGAAATAGCCGCTGTGCTGGATCAGGTCCCATCGATTGCCGTACAGGTCCTCGAACACCGCCACCGTGCCATATTCCTCCACCCGGGGCGCTTCAACGAACCGCACGCCGCGATCGCAATAGGTCCGGTAATCCCTCTCGAAATCGTCGGTGTCGAGAAACAGGAAGACCCTGCCACCCGTCTGTCCGCCGATGCGCGCGACCTGCTCGGGCGCCTCCGGCTTGGCGAGGAGGATGCAGCCTTGCCCGCCTCCGGCGGGGGCGAGCACGACCCAGCGCTTGATGGGCGACACCGGGTTGTCGATCCGCACCTCGAAGCCGAGCTTCTCGACGTAGAAGGCGATCGCTTCGTCATAGTCGCGCACCAGCACGGCGGTCAGGAAGAGGCGTTGGTTCATCGGCTCCTGCTTGCTCTAGGTCAGCGTGGCGTACCACATGCCGAAGGCGTTGTTGGCGACGTGAACGACGAGGCCGGGTACGACAGACTGCGTCCGCACTGCGGCTACGGCCGTGCCCACACCGAGGCACAAGGCCGCGATGAGGTTCGACGCTTCGGCATGGAGCGTGACAAACAACACCGCCGAGACGGCGACCGCGACCGCAGGTGGCATGCGCACGACGAGGCCGCCCAGCAGGTAACCCCGATATAGCACCTCCTCGACCAGCGGCGCCACCAGGACCGTGGCAATCAGAAGCCCGAGGCCGCTGACGGTCGATAGCGATCCACGCAGCGCCTGCCCGACGGCAAGGCGACTAGCGGCACCGGATTGCCACACGGTTTTGCCCGAAACGGCGAGGTAGAGAAGCGGCAGCTGCGCGATCACGAAGGCCAGCAGCATCAAGCCGGCCGTGGCCCGATCCCAACACGGCTTCGAGCAGAATACGGCCCGTGCGCGTGCCGGCTGGCGAAGATCCAGCGCCACGATCGCGAGCATGAGCGCCGAGGCCGCGAAGATCGTCAGGATGACGGCGCCTGCCGACATGATCGCGATGCCGAGCGTCGGCGCGAGAACGAAGTGAACGAGCGTCAAGGCGAGCTGGTGCAGCAGCAGGAGCCCCGCCACCAGCAAGAGGGGCGGCGCACCTTCGCGGCGCGCACCCGGCACGACACCGGCTTTCCCGACCTCTCCACGAACAGCCACCATCCGATCGCACCCCCGCCGACGATCATGCCTACCCGCTCGCGCGCGTCCAGCGCGATCAGAGCCGAAAGGCTCAATCAAGCGCGGGAGGAGAGGGGGCTGGGGAGGGTGTCCCAGATGCGAGGAGCAATCCCATGCCCGACCCCGGCGATCCCGACCGCAACGAGACCATCGCTCGCTTGAACGACCGCTGCCGTCTCGGCAGCGATCCTACGGCGCGCCACGTCATCACCCGTGCCTGCCTCGCGGAGTTCGCGGGCGGGTCGACCGCCGATGGCCTGTTCGCCCAGGCGATGCTGGTGGCCAACGTGCGCGCCCACGTCTTCGAGGGCAGCGCCGCGACGCTGCGCGATGCGGGCGACTTCGTGTTCAAAGACACGACCGTCTATTTCAAGATCGACGCCTACGATCTCGCGCTGGAATTCGGCTCCGAGGACCCGGCCGACCCCAGCGTCACCGTCCGCGTGCTGACGATAATGCTGGCGCAGGATCTATGACGCTGCGCCTCGACCTCATGGCGCTGCTCGCGCCCGCGCCGGTCGACCCGTCGTGGGAAGCCGAGAAGGCCGGATGGCGGTGCTTCGTCATGGGCAACAAACGTTCCGCCTATCGCCGCGGCTCAAGGCTGCGCACCGCCTGGCAGCGCGGCTTCGACGCGGCCGCCCGCTCGCCCGACCCGCTGGGCTTGGTGATCTAGCGCCGCCCTCCTGATGGAGATGGTCCATGGACCGACATGATCGCGCCGGCCGACGCCACGCGTAGTACTCTGCGTTGATACCACTGCTT